CGAACGGCTGAATAAAAACAGTTTTTCGCGGAAGCTTGGTCCCCCCGGATCTCCATGATACCTTTTGGCGTGGCGAATTTTAATTTCTGGTGGAAAGTGGAGTGCACCGCTCCCAACGCATGCAGCCATGTTCGCCCCATAATCACGTTGTAGGGAGAGTCCGTATCGATCACAACAAACTCGGTGTCGATGGTGAAGGGACCAGTGACAACTGGCAATGTGATTTTCCCCACGGGCAAGGCGAATGAGCCGTTGAACCCGATGAGGGTGTCCTGACTTTGGTGAGGTCTTTGGGGCCAAAACCCATCCGTTTCAAAGTACATCACCTCCGAGGAGCTTCCAGAGTCTATCAAAATTCTTTTGACATCGAATTTCCCTATCCTTAGGGTCAAGACAAGGGCGTCGTTATGGGGAGTCACTACGCTTGTCAAATCCGCGTCGGAGAATGTAATGCCAAGCTCACCCGTCCTGGCCCTTTTGCTTGGTGGCCCTACATTGCCCTCGGCTACCTTCCTCGTAAAAGCTACCCTCTTGAGGTCGGACTCGAGTTCCTTGGACGTGGGGCGATCCAGGGGACATATATGAATGACATCTATGATGTTGTCCGGTTCCTCGGTCGGGGCAAGGGCTCGTCTCTCTTCTGGCCTGGGCTCTATGTACTCTTTCAAATATCCGTCTCGGACCAAGCTTTCCAAGAACGATTTGAACAGCCTGCAGCTTTCGGTGCGATGCCCGAAATCCCGGTGATAGGAACACCTAACCTTTTGATCACGGGTGGAGGGGTCGCCCTGCATCCTGGGCGGCCATTTGAAGAACGGCTCGTGCTTGATTTTATGGAGCAACTTGAAGATGGGTTCCTTGAAAACAGTGTGAACTCCTCTGGACGAACCCCCTGGAGGGGGTAGCAATCCCTTTCAGGGAATATCTTCCCGCTCCTTCTCTTTTCTTTTAGATTGGAGGGCTCGACCTTTGCTGCTTCTCATCTCGTCCTCAACCCTCGAGTACTTGTTTATCTGGGCCATCAGTTCCCCCATGTCCGAGGGAGTCTTTTTGGTCAGGGATCGGTACAGGTCCGTGTCCCTTGCCAAGCCGAGCCGAGCCGAAAGATGCTGCTGCCATGACCTCCGAGCAGCCTTCTATCTCATTAACCTCTTCCCAGTATCGGATGGCGTACTGGCGAAGAGTCTCGGATTCCCTCCGTCTGAGGGTCAGCAATGATCCAATGTCTTTGGGGCGCTTACTCCCCGTAATGAATCGAGTCAGGAACTGCTTAGTCAATTCCTTCCAGGACCCAATACTGTTGGGGGGAAGCGCCTCGAACCACTTCATCGCAGAGTCTCCCAAGCTCATAGGAAACACTCGGCAGAGAAACCGTTGGTCCGAATGATAGAGGGACATCATCTGCTTGTATTGCCTGACATGGGCTTCGGGATCGGACCGCCCGTCATAAGTTTTGAACCCGGCACGACAAACTTTCTTGAGACCTCCATCTCACTGATCTCCCTCGTAAAGGGTGTTTGTATGACTTCGTCCTCGGCCTCATCCTGGACAGCCTTACCCTCTCTCCTGGAGTCTAACCGGGCTCTGAGGTCAATTTCTTCCCTGACGGGACGCCTTCTGAAGTCCTTGAGTTCATCGGTAAGCCCTCATTTCCTGGGCGTCGGGTGGATTGGGTTGACTCCTCCTCGGATTCATCTCCCTTCCTCCGTCTAGACAAACCTCGCCGGAGGTCGTCCAGGGCCAATGGTCTTGCTTTCCTTGAATGGTTGTCATGGTGATGCTCGCCGGCTCTGGGTTGCTTTGGGGCCTTAGAGCTTTCTGCTTTGTTGTTTAGGTGGTTTCTTAGATCCTTCGTTTCCGCCTCCCGGGCGTGAAGCCCGCAGGAAAGGAATGAATCTCTCGACCCTCCGCCAGAGGTGGCAAACTCGTCGAGCCGGCTTAGGACGTTTACATTGTCCTTTTCTAGCTGACGTAATCTATCGCCGAATTTTTCTTCAATCACCTCCGACAGCTGACGAGCCAAGGGGGCTGATCCCCCTGACCTGATTTCCATACTGGTTTGAGGGGTAACCCCTCTTGACTGAGTAGAGGCACTTTTATTCGTATTGGTGTGATCCCTTCCTCCGTGATGACAGGGAGCTTGTAACTCGAGACTCCTTTGGTGGGTCCTTTCCCTTTCTGTCGAGTGTTCACCATGGTCACTGTTCTTTATAGAGAAAAAACTATGAAAACTAGTCGTTTCCCACAGACGGCGCCAGATTGTGCGTGCAAGATCCTGCACAATATAAAAAACGAGAACAGATCTCTCCCTTGGTGAACTTCGAGTGAGCCTGTTGAGTGACCAAACACGCTGCTTGGAACAGCCTGCGAGGTCCGGTGGTAACCTAGAACGGCAACGGGAGACCCTGGGAATGGAAGAACGATCCAGTAAGGCTGAAATAGGTTCCTGGAACAAAGAAGAACAAGTTAGAAGGGCGCCGGAGTGTTTTTCGGCGTATCCCCTCCGACGATCTAGTCAGTCTTTGAGAGAGAGAGAGAGAGAGAGAGGAAGGAGAAAACACTGGGAATGTATTGTAGTCAAGAGTTTGTTGTTGTATACCCGTCTTGCCTTTTGCAAGGAGTATTTATACCTTAAAAGCTCATGATTGCTGTCAGTGTGGTCAGTAGATGATCATTAGGTACAGACAGTGTGTGCACTAATTCTGATGAGGAATGTCTTCTCTTCTTAACTGCTCAGGGTCCCGAGCAATCAATGCTGTGCCATCGGGATGCCGACGGTACAATGTACTCCTCTCGAGGAGGATGCAATAAATGCTCTGTATTAGGAGCATTTATTGCCTTTCATTTCCGAGCCTTACCGCATTGAATGTGGTCTCATCAAAGGAATGGTGTAATTAATAGTTTGCTTTCCCAAGTCGCATGTCAGCAACGACATGCGGTTTCTTTGTCTTCGATGTGATATCATATGCCACGCGTCCATCCTTTATTGGCTGTGAGCCCTGCATTCCAGTACATTCTGACACTAATTGTGTAAGACGTGGTCATGATGAATAGCCTAGACTAGCCTAGGCTAATGACCTGCACGTCAATAGCTTATCTTGGAGTAGAGGAAGCGTCCATGACGGGTACCTCTCGGCACTGAGGAAAGACTCATCTCGGTACCGAGGGAGGTATGCCGACCGAGGTACCATATCAGACCGAGGCCACGTGTCGGATGTAAAATATACTGAATGCATGATCCTATATGACGGTACCTCGGGGGCGAGGACATTCGTGCGCCGATGGTGCTTGATCTTAGCAACAGTGTTTTAGTAAACCGAGAACACGTGTTTTCATCATAGGATATTTCAGAAAAAGTCTCATCAGTTACCAATTACAGGCACCAATATTTGAAAAAGGGCTCCATGAGTGATACACATCTGTATACAAGGTGGCACCTCTAACATAGACCAACAAAATCTGTTCTTTCACTCTCTGCAACGCTATAAGGACGATATTTACTCCCTAATCCTTAGCTCCAAAGAACATATACATGGAGCTATGTTGATTTATGTACGACTTGTTAACTAAACAATCAGGTACTCTTTCTCTGGGAAAGAAAAAGTTACAAAAATGAAATGAAAAATTCACTCCCTTTTCCATCATCTTATGGGGGATGCCTTCAAAGACAACAGACCGTCTAATTCTGAAACACTTAGGTTGGCTGTCTGTGGTGGACCAAAAATCTTCCAGAAGCGTAGAGTCTTGTTTGCTCCAGCTGACTCCGCAGTTAATCCATTGGGCTTTACGAATTAATATTACTAATAAAAGAACTTTAATATTAAAAATTTTTGATTCTCTAATTTACTCTTATAAAAAGTTATAAAGACCATTCTATTCTTTCACAATTAGATATTTAAATTATCTATTATCTCCTTATGTATTTAAATCTCTCAATTACCCCCAACTTCTCTTTTAATTATCTATTATCTCTATATAAATATTAATTTCTATGAAATTTTTTGATTGACTATATTATCTTTAAAAAATATGCATCATTATATTTTCAATAAAGTGTTCAAAAAACTTTCAAAAACTTTATCAATCTAATATTACCCATCTCATATGCAAAGATAACATTACCCGCATATATGTTTTTTTTTTTATTTAAAAATTTTAACTTTTTTATTTCTAAAATAAAAAATAATTATATATATAATTTTTTAAAATTAATTTATGTTACATCAATATAATTTTTTAGTTTACAATAAACTTTTTAAGTTGTATTAAGATTTTATGTGAAAATAGTTTATAGTTTATTCTTAAGTAACACTTGAATTTTAAAAATTTTTGATATGTTTTAAAATATATATTATAGAATATTATATTAAATCTTATTCTAATTGATTAACTAATTCTTAATTATAGTGAAGTTTTAATATAATTAAGTAGTATATTGATAATTATTTTTATTTTATTCAAAAAATTATAAGTGAAATCCAAATCGAATGAATTTCAAAAAATTTAATTTCTCAAACATTACTGAAAAATCACTCTCAATCACAAAATTTAAAAAAAAAAATAGGAATTTAATTATTTTTTTTATCTTTTTTCTAATATACTAAATTTTCATTATTCTATAATAGAATAAGTGTAATGAAAAATTAAGTCTCATAAATTTAAAATAATATTTAATTCAAATATGTATATATTAATATATTATATTAATTTTTATACAAAAATTATTTATGTGCAACGCACGTGATACATTATTAATAAATTATAAATGTCGGTTACCGCAAAAGTGCTGGCATTCATTATTATTGATAATTTTGTTGATAAAAAAAATTATTATTGATAATTTTGGTCAAAGTTACGAAATTATTGATGAGCATGACAAGTAAAGGCCAATTCTCACCTCTCGCTTGACCAACCAATTCTCTCTCTCAATTCCAGAAAATAGATTTCCACCCTGTTCAGATTCCATCGCTGGATTCGAGAGAGAGAACGAAGACAGAAAAATGGAATCCTCAAACGACGTCGCATGCAGCAACCTCCCTCGCCTTCTCTCCTCATTCGTGGACACATTCGTCGACTACTCCGTCAGCGGCCTTTTCTTACCACCACCCCCAAACCCTAACCCTACTAGAAACCCTAATCCCAATGATCACTCGCACTCATCTGCATTACAGACCACGTACCCTACCCCAGACCGCCTAGTCGCCGTCGGTGACCTCCACGGTGACCTCCAGAAATCCAAACAAGCTTTCAGACTTGCTGGCCTCATCGATACCTCCGATCGCTGGTCCGGCGGGTCTGCTACCGTGGTCCAGGTCGGTGATGTGCTCGACCGAGGCGGCGACGAGCTCAATATCCTCTACTTCCTCGAAAAATTGAAGCGAGAGGCGGCAAAAGTTGGTGGGACTATTATTACTATGAATGGGAACCATGAGATCATGAACCTGGATGGAGATTTCAGGTATGTGACTAAGTCGGCTCTCGATGAATTTAGAAATTGGGCTAATTGGTATGGTATTGGGAATGTGTTGAAGAGTTTGTGCGATGGGTTGGAGAAACCAAAGGACCCGTTTGATGGGTTGCCTTTGGATTTTCCTGGTGTTAAGCCTGAATTCTTTAATGGGATTAGAACAAGGATTGCTGCATTGCGGCCTGATGGTCCTATTGCGAGACGTTTTTTATCGAAAAATTTGACTGTTGTTGTGGTTGGAGAATCTGTATTTGTTCACGGAGGGCTTTTACCCAAACATGTGGTTTATGGGTTGCAGAGGATTAATGAGGAAGTGAGGGATTGGATCAGTGGGTTTAGGGAGAGGGTTTCAAATGAATTAGTCAGGGGGAGGAATTCGGTGGTTTGGTTGAGGAAATACTCGGATGAATTGGCGAAGAATTGTGATTGTTCCACTCTTGAACATGTTCTTGCCACAATTCCTGGGGTGAAGAGGATGATAATGGGGCATACGATTCAGGAGAGTGGAATTAATGGTGCTTGTGATAACAGAGCGATAAGGATTGATGTGGGTATGTCGAAAGGGTGTATTAATGGACTACCTGAAGTTTTAGAGATTAATGGGAACTCGGAGCTGCGAGTCTTGACATCAAACACTTTATATAGCAAGTCATATGAATCTCCTTTGCAAGGTAATCAGAAAGACGGGCTCGGTTTGTTGATCCCTCAACATTTGCCAAACCAATTAGAGGCGAAGGCTTAACTGTCAGCCAATGTAGACTCAAATAGATCTGTTTTGTGGAATCTCTCAGGGATAATTGTTTGTATTTGTATGACTAAAGTGTTCTGTCATCATTGTGGAAATGGTTGCAGATCCTTAATCATCATGTACAGTGATTTTAAAATTGTGTTCAGAAAAGATTGCTCTGCCACATTGAACATTTGTAACTCCCTGGTTGTCCATGATGAGACCATTTGTTGATATATTATTTCTTAGCTTTTGCTATATTAAATATCTTAATGCCTTTGCATTGAGAAGGACCTACTGATGTTACCTTATTCCAGCAAATTGGATTCAGAAAATCTTATGTTGTAATGAATTTATAATGGGTGTCGGTCAACCTGATATGGTTATTATGAATGAATTTTGTCGGTGTCTACACCAAAAAATAGCAAAATTCGAGGGTGACACATAAAAGATATCAAACGGTCATAAAAGAGTCTATACTTGATAGGGCGGTCGAGGAAATGAGATTTTGAGAATCCCAAGAAGTGGAGAGACATGATATTATGAGCCGTCAGTTAGAGTCGGTTTAGCACACATTTGTGCGTCTTGAGGAAAAAGCCTTGATTATTGTTATGGGTGAAAAAGATGGTTTCGACGGTTGAATGCTATCTCTATAAATGACCAAGACAAGATTATAGAGAATGATTCACGATCAAACACAACAAACTCTAGAGAGTTAGCTTCTCTTTTGTTTACTTGTTTCTTGCTTCTGAGCGACTGTATTCTCTCTCTCACCTGTAATTCATCTCTTACTACTTTCATTTGATGTTAAGGATAGTATTCATTTCTTCTTCCAAAACTAGTTTATCTATTACTTTGCATTCCAGTTTTTCTTTTTACGTTTCAATTCATTACGTTGTTAATTAGGAAATTATTTAATGTCTTTGAATCCTAAGACATAAAAAAGAACTAAGAGGTAAACTTACGCGTTATTACAATCATCTGAACAATCACGATTTTAGAACCTCAAACCCGGTTCGAGTACATAAATTTATACGTGTTTGAATCTTAAGTTCAATAAGACTTTGGCACGCCCGTAATCTGAAAATATGCCAAACATAATTTTTTGCACGTCCGGTGGGACACCATGTAGTCATATAGCGAACACTCGTGGAAAAGCCAAGATTGGCTCATCATAAGTGTCTCCAATGCATGAGGTTGTTGAAGAAAGTAGGCATAGCATCCCTAATTGCTGGAAGAGTTGCCTTCGCTCGGGGGGCAAGAGAATTGAGTTCAACTCAGAGGCAGGCGCCTCGATTAAGGCTTTGTCACATGGAGTCTCCCAACAAATCTCCAGGTTTATCAATGGCTTGGGAAATTTGGTCAAAGAAGAATCTGGCCGCAGAATACATGAATTAGAGCGGTTGATTGACAGTTTGAACCATCCAGGGGATACAAGACAATCATTGTTTTCCCTTGCACAAGTAGTGCCAGTGGAAGCACTACAACTAGCGCTTCCATCATATGTACCGTTCCAGAGGACGTAGTAGGCCAGAAATGGCCATTGGAGAAATAATAAATCTCTTTTTCAAGGGGATGTGGTCTCTAGTCTTGAGTTTGAGGGACAAAGAAGACAACTGTAAATTGTTCTTCCTGCGGCTCCCCAAGTGGTCGTGAATCGAGATCGGCTAGACGAAATAATCCAAGAGCACGTCGGACCCTCCTTGATATGAGTGATTAGGCTAACATATGAAAAATCATATCCCGATTGAGTGGACAAGGAGTACGAATATCCTCGGGGTTATAAGGTCCCAATAAGGTCCTGGTGTTTGCAACTTTTTCAGGCTAGGACAATCAATCGACTATGGAACACATTAGTTGTTTCACTGTACAATGTGGTGAGGTAGGGGCTAACGAATTTCTGAAGGTAAGGTTGTTTGCCAATTCATTGACAAGAACAGCCTATAGATGGTACATTGATTTGCCATCCAATTCTGTGTTAGGCTGGCAGTAAGTAGAGGACAAGTTCCACACTCAATTCTACTGTATTGAGCCAGAGGTATCAATGGCTGATTTGGCCAGGTTGTATCAGATGACAGAAGAAACAGCAGAGCAATACATCGCGTGTTTCAAGAAAGTCAAGAATCAATGTAGGTTTGGCACTGCCTGAGATGGAGTATGTGTGTGCATTGTGCATAACGGTTTGGATTTCAAACTCTGGAAGAAATTTGAGGAGATGGAGTTTAATGATCTGTTCAAGTTGGCAATGTGGGCTGCGAGCAGTCAAAGACCCCACGGATGAAGGTGGACTTGGGTGGTGATGGGACAACCAACTACGAGAAGCCCAAGGGTGAAAAGGATGCCACCCCCCAAGATGAGTCTTCCTCAAAGGAGGACCTTCACAACAAGTTTGCCATTTCAGCTGGAGTTAAGGAGCAGCTTGACATAGTTAAGAGCAGCTTGTGCCCCAGATGTAAGACATTTTCTTGAATCACTCTAGAGGATAAGGAGCGAGGAAAAATGGGACGGAAGGCCATGAAAGGGGGTGACACTACAAAGGCACCCACAGGGAGCAACTAGGTGAATGGTTGTTGCCAAAGTGAGATTACGAAGATCGACTAGGCAAATTCGTAAGGCCGAGTTATAAGGAACACGACAAGGACTTGTCACAACCACCATGATGTCAACCTAAGTTGAGGTATGAAGAATTTGCTACTAGGTTGACTCTTGGTCAACCCCTCTGGGTTGAGGGGTATCAGGGCCAACCCATTATGATAAAGCTAATATAGTCATTAGAAAATCATTGGTACATGCCCCAATATCCAAAGTTCCCACAATACCATCAGTCGTGCTTGCTGTCCAGAACTCAGAAGCATAGGAAGCAGCACATCCAAGTGAACCTATGGAAGTGGGAGGAATACCAAGAGATGGAATCTTGGGAGGCGAGACGTTCTGTCGACGACATCTCAAGATGAGGGAGATCAAGTCCCAATTTATTCTTTCTCTACCCCCGCAGTGCCTAGTGGCTCCAAAGAAAGCCACGGCTGAGGAGAAAGGGAAAAAGAAGGTGGAGCCTGAGTCCTCAGCTAAGGAGGATATTGAGGAGCAAATGGTGCGAAAAGTGGTTGAGCAGCTTAAAACCATGCTCAATATGCATCCAGGAATTTGCAAGGGTAAGATGAAAGAGGATTCTACGGATGAAGACGACAATGATGGAGGTGATGCCATCCAGTTCAGCACCCTAGGGCATTCAATGTTTGTAAATGCCCTTGGGCTGTTGCAAAGTAATTCAAAACTCCAGTCCAACAAGCAGAGTCCTTAGAGGGATATGTTGAAGACTCCAAGACACTAGGATCAAAATTCCTAGACGATGTTGCCATGACGGTAGTCCAAATGGAGTGTTCTCCTGAGATAGGTCTGATACTAGAGTAGAAGGAAGATGAGCATATCGCAGTTAGCAGCCGAAGAGAGAGTGGCCATTTACCAAACCTACGCGTCCTATGACGCAACACTTGAAGCCGCTCTATATCCAGGTATACTTGGAAGGGAAGTCTTTCAACAAGGTCTTGGTAGACAATAGAGCGGTCGCCAACATTCTACCCATAGCTACCATGAAGAAGCTAGGGAGGAAGGAGGAAGACTTGGTCCACACCGAATTAATAGTGAACGGCTTCATGGGAGGAGCCAACAATACGGTGGGAGTTTTACTCGTCAAATTAGCCATCGGCAGCAAGGTCAACATCACTCATTTCTTTGTGATTGATCTGACTACATCCTACAATGCTCTCTAGGGTCAGAATTGGATCCATTTGAGTGAGTGCATGCTATTAACTCTCCATCAGCACTGGTGGTGTTGATGTGGACCCCAATCGACTTGCTTTGAGGCCCAACAACAATATTGAAAACATAACCCAAGAAAGTCAAACTCAAGTTTGTAAAATCCGGTAAATTTAAACTTTTGTAAGTAAGGGCAAAACGATAATTTTGTCGCTACAGTACGGGTTGAAAACTTGAATTTTTCTAGATCTCAGATGAAAAAATGGACCTCACCGTTGGATTCGTCTCGTGAAATCTAGTTACCACGTCAAATTTCATCGAATTTGGAGATAGTCGAATTTTTTACGTTTTGCGAGGCGGTTGAGTCTCGGGTGACCCAAAAATGGGATTTTCAATAAAATTTTGAAAGTTAGAAATAATTAAAGGCAAATTAAAATAAAATTAATTTAAACTTGAACTGGGGTGAAATTTAATCGTTTCAGAATGAAAACGGACCCGCAAAAAAAAGGGTTGTGTGGCGCATTGTGGGCCAAGCATTGAGGAATATAAATAGGGGAAAAAATCAAATTTTTCTACCATTCCTATGCCCAGCCATTAGCCGATAGAGAAGAGAGGGAAAAGAGATAACTCTTCCACCTTCTCTCTACGGTCTACAACTCCATGGTACTCGGATCTGCTCGAGCCAAGAACAAAAGTCATTCTTCTCGCCGAGGGCTACGCGACCACACCAAAAACGACGAGTTTCACCGAAAGTTAAAAAATGAGATTTTGGGGAAGTGAGGATTCAAGATTGTTTTGGGTTCTTGGAGTTTTTCAACGTCGTTTTACGCTTCAAGAGGTAGGATTCTCTCCTACTCGGGTTTATTTTAATACTTAGGGTGTTTTATGTAATAGGTAGGTTGGTAGAGATTGATATCACATGACTATGGATTGGAATTAATTGATTTGGTGAAATTGGGCAAAATGAATTTTACCTTGAAATGGGTTGTGAATTAGATTAAATGTGATCCATGGAATTGATTGTTAGGTGGGCATGTTATGTGTTCGTTTTATGCCTTGGGAGTTAAGTGTGTTGTTAGCATATTTTATGTTATAGCATGCTTGTGAATTGTTGTTGAGAATGATATATATTGATATATAGCATTGAGAGAAAGTTTGGTGATTATATGCTTCAGATATAAATTGCCATGAGACTTGTTTGAATGTAGTTAATTTTGCTTATGTGGCATTCATTTCATATGGGCATGATGTTGAATTAG